CGCCCGCCCCGGCCGGCCCCGGCGTCACGCACTTCTCCATGAGCCAGATCCGGCACAGCGTCCGGGGCCTGTTCAAGAAGAGCGGCTCGGGGGACGCGAGAGACGGGGGCGCCGCGGGACCCCCCGAGGACACGGCCGCCTCCGTGCCTTCTGGCCAGCACTGGCTCGGCCGGCTGGCCAGCAGGTTTCGGCAGCAGCGCGCCTCAAGGAGGGGCAAGCCGCGGGAGAGCTGCAAGGAGGGCCATCTCAAATACCTTATGGTGGACGACACTAGCTTGGACACTCTGCCCAACTGGCAACGCTGCAAGTTGATGGTACGGAAAACTGAAGGGACTGGCGAGGAATACCTGCTCGAGCTTTTTGATCCACCAAAGGTAAGAAAGCTCTTATTTATTTATTTTCTATGTTTACACTATGAGTTTCAGCTGGGGACAAAAGATTTTCTAGGGTTATTATTGATTTATTTTGCCTGAATTACTTACTATTTGTTACTATTTCTCAATTAGTTGATAACCTGACCTGTTTTACACAGACTAGGGCTTGGGATCTCAGTCACATCTGTTTTTTTTTCAGAGGAGCTCCCAGGTGTTTTGACTTAATACCCTAAGTTAAGAACTCTTGCAGGTCCCAAATAACTTATGGATTATGAATGAAAGTGACTTGAAATCTCCTAATAGAGCAGAAAACTACTAATATGCACAGTTATTGACTGATCTGGGGGGCTCAGTTGTGTCAAAGAGAGCTTGAAGGCTCTGAAGAGGGTAAAGAGGATGAGGTGTGGGTTTCTGCTTCTGATCCTGTAGATCCTGTAGAAAGGGTCTTAAGAATTTTAATTCCACTCGATCACTGAATGAATTGGTACTGACTTTGGTGCCCTTATTTCTAAGTTTGCTTCCATAACCGTAGTTCCTAAGGAGTTTCGGATCGCTTCTAAAGCCCACTGGGCTGTGACGCACAGGACCTTGCATGAATAGCACTGTCAGTCACCCAAATAAGGGTTTAGCGTCTTTGCTCTTCTTTGGCATGTTCACTTTGTGTTGGACCCTTTTTAAAAGCTCATTCTTATGAAGGCCATAAGTTGTATTTTTATATTTTGTAATTAATGGTTAACTAATGTATCAAATAATGAACTATAATTGAGACCAAATCGCATTCAGATCTTATATTAAGAGACTCCATTCTCACAGGTTTTCACACTTTTATTGGTTCAGCCGCTACCTTGAAACCGGTAGTGTGAGATTTTACTGCAGAAGTGTGGTGGTGTATTGCGGTAGATTTGGCTTCTGCGCTCACTGCTTTCATGAGCACCGCTGGCTGTTGCACAAGGCAGTATCTTCCGACGCCGTAATCAACTTTCAACCGATGTGTCAGGTTATGGCGGAATTTCTTAAGAGGAATGTCAACATGGCAAACACAGCGCACATGACAACAGGCCCAGGATTTCCCTGGATGGGCTCCAGGCTGTGCCTGCTGTAGCAGGGTGCTGTCGGCCGCCTCTGTCTGGCACTGCTGTCAGGACTGTGCTGGGTCGGTGGGGGCAGTGGCATCACTTTATTCAGATTGTCGGGAGGAGTGACCAGGCAATGGATTACCATGCAAGGCACTTTCATGTCACGTAGCCACATGGAAATCGCTCTTAAGTAAACAGTTTGACGATGAAGTACCCAGGAACAGTGGGTACGTGTGAGGAACTCCGGTGAATCGTTTTCCTCCATTTCTTCTCAGTCGTCATCTGTAAATTCAGGCTTGCGGATGCACTGACAAATACTAATTCCAAACCCAGTCCATGACTGAATACTGCAGGCCGGGCCAAAGTCTAACAGCTTTCTTTCTGTTTTAAGTGTTAGTCACCAGCTAATGTCGCGGTCACAGCCTGAATCGCACTGACAAATACCGTTTCAGTCTCTTTGGGCTCCCCTTGTTAGGGTGGGAGTGAAACTCGGATGGTTTGAGAAATCAAGAACCTAAATGAGGACATAACTGGAAAAAAAAAATTGCCAATTCTTGTGTTTAAAAAGGGAAAGTCATCTTAGGTTATTATGAGAAGGATTTGTGGCTATGGAACATATTGGCTTTAATTTCAATTCTTTGGGTTTGATGGAGGCTTAGTGAGCAGCCAACTGCCATGTAGGATCAAGAGTGTTTTTACAGAAGTGTATGGGTGGCCTGACTTTTAACATTAATGACCCTTAACAGTCCTGATTCATGAAAGATTGCAATGAGGAGCTTTTGTCTGTTCTAATGACCCTGTGCAAGTTAGCCGTTTCTCTGTAAAACAGGGGTCATATGGTTTCCATCAGAGGATGGTATTCTGCTTTCTCTGTGAACAGATTATTCCACTGCTGAGATCAACACGAATACAGATTTGTGGGTTATGAGTACAGCTGTTCTCATCAGAGGCGGGGAAGCTAGATGCCCTTAATTAACTGCATCAGATCAGTTTGTTGTAGGAGGCATGAGCTCTGCAGGAGCTAAAGCATGGAGCATTAGAACTGGATTTAATTTTGGCTTCATTAATTATAGGTAGAATAAGTCCTCATTTTATTGTCAAACGGTGATTGTTTATAGCATCGCACAAGTATTTTCTCACCACTGAGATTTAAGCACTTGAATGGGCCCAATTTTAATTAAAATACTGTATGTGGCAGTGCACTTTCTCAGCTCATGTGGAGTGGCGAGGCAGTGCAACTCCAGTGCTCATCCGGGCTCTGCAACACAGGAATCTTGGCAACACAAGGATATTCTCTCTGGAACTGAAGCAGAAAATGTCCTTAAAAGGAAGAGTGTTAGAGCACACAGCACGCTGTGTGCTGCCTGTACTGTTGGGGGGCGATCTGTGTTTGTTAAACACTCTTCTCTTGTTTAGAGATTACCTGTTTGTGTTTCTGTTAGGTCAGTCTGGACATCCCTATAAAAGAGGGATGTTTATCAATTTGTAAATATATGAAAGACTATATGCACTTCTAGTGCTGGGTCAACTGTGAAATACCTAAATTGGAAATTTTGTTAAATTGTGCTCATTTAAACAAGGTAATACAGGCCATTTTATGTGACGTTCTTATACTTTGAGGAACTTCTTTGGTTTTGACACCTTGTTTCAGTTTAAAGATCCTAGGAAATCATACACTACTCTCATTTGATTTGAACATTCTTTTGTGGACTCCCAGTTAACCATCTGGTCCCTAAAAGTTAAACATCACATTTTGAAAGACATTCCTCAGGTGTGCTGTGTACTTACTGTAAGTGCCTGCCTGGGGTTTCACTGTGTTTCTGTCTGGGCTGAACTGGCAAAATGTAAAGGAATGAAATTTGTTTTAAAACCCTCCTAAAACCATGATTGAATATCACCAGTTTTCCTCTGGAGCTGTTCTGAATTAATGAGCAACTGTCTTTTCTTAAACCGACCTCTTTAAAATGCCACACTGCCTGTTAAAGGCAAGTTTGGATCTGACCAACCTGGCCTATCCACGCACTGTTGATATAGAGATCAAACATTGTCTTGAAATATTATTTTTTAAAGACGATTTAAGGTATTTCAGGGAAAAGGGTGGTGCCATCTACCTTGGTTGTGTTCAAGCTTTTACAGTGCAGCATGTTGATCTTGTTTTTATGAGCAGTTGCCTATAGATTAAAGACAGGGTGTAGTTAGTGTTTTAAGATCTTTGTTTCACTTTTCACCTTGTCGGGGATAGAGCAACGGATATGATGCTATATAATAGTCCCATGTAGAATTCATAATTACACTGTCTGAAAGCCTCTCTTCAAATGTGGATAATACCATTGCAAAATAATTGTCATTTAGTTTGACAGATATAAAATATTGTTAGTATCCCAATTAATATACTAACAGTCAAATCTACATTGTATATATAAAGTAGACTAAACATACTTTGCAGAATATTTGAAGAGATGTTACTGCTTAAATAGATTTCGGACTTGCAAAGTTTTTTAAACAGTTTTATTTGTAGCTCTGGCAACACAGGGAGATTATTAAATCTTCTGAGTGTGCCCAGAAATGTTGGGTTTTTTTGTGCAAATTTGAGTACTTGTCATATTACAATGTGGAAATTGTATTGAAAAACACAGCCTGTTGTAAAGTACAACTATTATTCTAAAAGTATTTTTCTTAAGGTATTTTAGATTATTTAGTATAAAGGGAAATCTCATCTCTTAAATCTGAAATATTGGACTTCCTCACTATAACAGGGAAAAATTAATACTACTGTACATAGGTTTAAAATCCGGGAATGTCAGGGGCTAGGATTAGGGTTAGGGGGTTGATCAGTTGCTCATGATGGGTTTTTGTGTTTCATATGCTTTAGTGATACAATATACTGTATTTATGATGCTTGAAATAAAGAGGTTATATATTTATGATAACTAAGACAGGAATTATTGTCATTGACTGTGTTGATTGCAGTTGTTAAAAGCATAAGTCAAAGATCAAGTAAACGTGTGTAGTATATTTTTCTCCTTTAATAGTGTTTCTTGTGCTGAAAAATGTCCTCGTCGGTAACAGACACCCCATCTCCCCTATTTGTCTATTTAAAAGGGGGTTTACTATAGCAAGACCTATTGAAAGGCTCCTACAAGCAGACATTATTTGTGCCATCTGTGCTTTTGGTGAAACCACAGCTTCTGTGATGTGATGGAGGCTTTGTGTCATCCGTGTCTCAATGAGTTATAGACAGCTCTCCACCCGGGAAATAATAATTGCTTACGCTTGTATAGCGCTTTTCTGGACACTCCACTCAAAGGTCAGTACAGGTCGTGGGGATCGTGTGTACCCCCCACCTGGATGATGCAACGGCCATTCAGTTTGAAACTGTGGAGGGGGGAAAAGTGAAACTGATCCACCGGGAGGTTGGCTGGGAGCAGTTGGTCCCTTGTCTACCTTCAGCTGTTGATCTGTGGGGCCTTGACCCTGAACGTCCAGAGCTCACCTCTGTCCAGTGCAGTGTCGCTGTATCTTGACTGATTATTAGTCGACGATCCTAAAGCTGGAGAGCAGGGTTTGCTAGCTGTTGTCGCCTGACCAGGGAAGCGAACAACTAGGTAATCTAGGTTTATAACCCAGGCCGACGGCAACTGGTGTTGCATGCTCACGGCCTGTCAAGTGTGGGAGGAGCATATTTACTCTCCCCAGGTACAACAGGTGCATTGACTTACAGCACCATCGTTACAGAGTGCGTGTGGGGATTCGGAATGGTTGGATTTTTACGTCCGGCTTCTCCGGGACTCTTGCTCTTCAGAGCTGCAGCCCCCGGCGGGTCAGACTGATAGAGAGAGCGTGCCCTGGCCAACTCGCCCCAGGCCCACGAGCGCTGTGGAGCCCCGTCTGCTGTGCACTGTGACTCGGACAACAGCAGTCAGC